TTTTGTGATGTATCAATGATACCTTCTGACTCTAAACATAAGATATATTCTATATCCTGCAGGTAACCCAAGTTCATTTCTACTTTAACAAAGAAAAATGGAAAAGTCACTTTCTTACCTCCTCTTTTGCTTACTTTATAGAACGCTAAAAAAGGGAAATCATCCCCCCCCATTTTTTATCATTCAACTTATTTATGGTTCATTCAGATTATCACTACATTCTCAAAGAAAATATAGGGCAATATAAAATATATGCTGTTCTCATTTTCTTTTTAACCTAATAAAATTTAATTGACTTCTTAAGTAATCAGCTTTTGAATTACGCATCCATAAAGAAAGGTCTCTGGCTTATTTTTGTCTGTGTCAACCTAATTTCACTTAAGCAGCACAAATCAAGGCATGATTAGCTGCTCAGCATAATTATCCATGCTAAAATATATCTTGCTGTTGAGTGTTGCAGCCTTTGATATTTATAATGATAGCTAAAGAGGCAAAATCCTCCAAGACAGTTTTGTTTTTACCCAAATATACTTTTGTTATTATTATTTAGGGATTGTTAAAATGTGCTTTTTCCCTCAAGGTGACTAGATAGAGTCTAAGGGGTTACATTATACATTCATTTTAGGAGGCTCAGGGAGTTGATAACCGCTAGATGGCCCACACATTAAGACGTTTAAACTAGTTTTAAGCACCTTTTAACCATCTTAAAGTTAGGCCACCCCAGGACAGGTTTCTCTGAACTGTTACCCAGCTCATGTTCCATGAACGTGTGACCAACTCCTCCCAGAGATAAGCCATCTAGGTTCCAGTCCTCCAGCATCCCAGGATGCAGTGCCTCCCCTGACTCTTCTGTTCTGTGCATACAAACTTTCCACCCCCTTAACTCTACTGCCCAGTGGGTGGTATTGGCACCAAGCCAACTCCCTCTCCTGCCCCCAGGGGTAAGTCTTGGCTGGGCAGCTAACAGGAGCACAGACTGGTCAGGGAGGAAATCCTAAAGGGTGGAAGAGGGATCAAGGTAGAGGTCCAGATCAGGGTCCCCATGACCTTCTCTCCTGAGGCAGGAACAGCATCCCTGTGAGTAGGGGTTACCAATCCCAATACTAACTTATTCAAATACAAGAATTTCTTTAATTTACTTACTCTTCATACTTTTACATTTTGTTTTACTTCTTTTTATTTTATCCTTTAGTGGATAAAGGATAAAAGGTAGTGGCTTCAGTGAGTGAGTTCCTTCATTTCACCATCTAGTCCCCAGCTCCCATTCCCATTCATTTCACTGCCTAGTCCAACCCACCCCCAGAGATGGAGCAGAGATAGAAGCCTGCCATGGCTTGCAGTCCTGTAGTGGGAACTCACAACTGTAGCTCCTAGTCAGGCCCAAGATCATCAGCTTTCTAGTAGCAAATCACAGTTGCAAGAGTCAGAGAAGATTTTTAGCTTGAATGTGTTTCACTCTAAACTTGAGCTAACACTAACACTTATCACCATTTGAGAAGCTTAAAGTGTAATATATAACAAAGGCCCAAATGATAAGAAACAGATATTATCAATTAAAACTTTATAATAGGCTTCATAAGATAAGGCCATCAGCCTTTATTTACCATATTTACTCAAATACAAGATGACTATAAAACACATGGCCAATATTGAGCAAACATGCTAATGGGAACCTACCACATGATTTTTTTTTTGCAAAAATATTATATATTCAAGAGGGTGAATGACATGCACATATCACTGTACCTCTAACCACCTGTCAAGTGACCACACTACCACATTTTTTTAATGAAAATATTTCATGTTTCAATCCAAATCAATTCCAAATCCGTGAGTCAGTCAAGAACCATTAGTGGCCCTACTACTGGCAAACATCTTTCACCTTCACCTATGGCTTCAGATGATTCCAAACCATTTGGCAGGCATCCTATATGCAGGCCCAAGCCTGGAGGCTTAGGGTTCAGATGCCCCCAAGTTTCACTTGCCTTCAGCCATAAGGCCTAGGAGCAAGCTAGGGAGAAGTCTCCCATTTTCAAGAACTGGGCATAAAACCAAAATCTTCCCACTTGAGCAGCAAGTTAGAGATTTACTATACATTACCTTCACAGGCACTACCCTATGTCAGAAAAGCAGTTATCCCCAGGTGTGACTAGGAAAACTGCCCTGATAGTCATGGTATTTCCCCTATCAGGTACACAAGGATTAATTAGTACAGCCCACCTGAACAAGTTATTTGGTACCACCCACTGTATGGTGTCCTCCTCAGCAGCAATTATTTTCAAGTCATGGTGAGTCATTACACTGCATACAATTTCCAGTGATTCCTGTTTCTTCACCAGCCTTTAATATCTAGCAAACATCTCTAAATAGGCCCTCTCAAACAGTTCACCCCAAATCCCTCTGTCACCCCTTCTCTCAGCCTGTTGCATATGTTTAGTGTGGCCCTGCCCTCCATAAGGTGGAGCCGGACCAGGTTCTCCTGCACCTCATCCGCATATACACTTTTGGAGGATCCCAGGTCTCATGACAAGAACACCCAGTTCCAGTCATGAGTGGAGTGCTAATTAGTACATGGAAACTTTGTGTGGGGTATCTGGAGTATACATAAATACTGATCAGTGCTGGGTTGTGGGATTACCATGGCTTGAAACGCTGTTGACTCTGCTGGGACCTAGTACAATGAGCTATGTGGTAAATAATGAGCCTTTGGTTTTGGTTTTGGACTACTATCGTATATAGTGGGTATATCTACACATCACCATATGACAATGTTCCTACAGTGCCATGCTTTAGTACTTCCTTTTGGAAGTACTAAAGCATGGTGCCATACTGCTCTTTGACCGAGGCACACTATTAGATTTTGCACTACATCGCCACAGTGGCACGCTAAAATGGGGAAGCGCACCACTATGATCACTACTTTACCATAGCGTGCCATACAGTGACGTAGCACGTTGCTACGTAGCCATAGGGCAATGTGTAGATGTACCCAATTTGTACTATAAATAAGTAGGCACAAAAATGCTGCTTAAAAGTGTGGTTATGGAGTGCCTGTGCTAAAACTTGCAGCAATTTCAAAAAAGGTAAAATGCATGAATTCTGGATGAACTAAGTCCATGGATAGTACAGGTATATTTATTTCAAGGTCAGTGTTTTCAAATTTGCTCCACACCTCCATGTGCTCAAAGACAGCAGTGTCTGACAGTAAGGAGGAGGAGAAGGGGCAAGAGGGGGAAGAAGTTGGCAGAGGAGAGGAGGGGAAGGGGGCTACCTGATTCCCTGATTTATTTTCCCTGCTGTAGCAAGGGGAGGGGGAAATTTCAAGGCAAACCTTCATTAATTATATTCTATACCTGGAAAAGTATAACACATTTATAAATTTTCCATATATATATAGAATATAATTATTGGGGGATGATCTTATAGAATCACAGAAAACTAGGGTTGGAAGGGACCTCAGGAGATCATCTAGTCCAACCTGCTTCTCAAGGAGGACCATCCCTAACTAGATCATCCCAGCCAAGGCTTTGCTGAGCAAAGTCTTAAAAACCTCCAAGGATGAAGAGTCTACAGCCTCTCTGGCTAATCTATTCCAGTGCTTTACTACTCTCTTGGTGAGAAAAAATTTCCTAATATCTAACCTAAACTTCCCTAGCTGCAACTTGAGACCATTGCTCCTTGTTCTGTCATCTGCCACCACTGAGAACAATTTAGCTCTATCCACTTTGGAACTGCCCTTCAAGTAGTTGAAGGTTGCGATTAAATCACCCTCCCCTCCACGCTGTCTTCTCTTCTCCAGACTAAATAAACCTAGTTTATCTGTTTATCTTCCCTCAATATTCAATGTCATCGTATATTCAAGTAAATACAGCAGATACCAAGCACACAAATGCCCATACCAACATATCAGTTTGTAATCCCTCTAGTAGCAACAGAAAAAGTGAAGAAGAAATATATGTGAAGAATTAATGTAGCCAGCCCTTAAAATATGCAGAAGAAACAGAAGAGACAGATTTTGGTGAAATTCATTTCACACTTCTATTGGCTACAAAGGACCTGCTGTTGCCTGTACCAGTTCTAACTTCATTTTATAGTGACAGACTCCTGGCTGATAAAACTGTCTTCATTTTGTTCAACAGAGCTCCTGAAGTTGATAATCATGGAGGATCTGTCTCATGTATGCCCTGAGGAACTGACTGTTTATCTTAAAATAAAACAAAACACATGGCAGAACAATACCAACAACGTGTGGAGAAGTGACATCAGAAATTTGAAGATCAACTCTGTAAGCATTTCTGAAAAGCAGAATTCAAAAATGAAAGATAGGAGTGATGTTTAACAGATGCATTGTGCACATGAGCAATATGAAAGAAGGTGTCACACTGAGAGTGGAATTGGACTCTCTCTAACTCAGGGAAAAGAATGGGAGAAAATAGAGGAAGAAGCTGGAGAAAGGAAGGAAACAAATGCAGATCTGAAAGACAGCTGGGGTTGGCAAACTAGGGCAGGGGTAGGCAAATTTTGCTGCTGTGAGCTGGAGCTTGCAACTCAGCCCCCTGCTGCAGGCTGCAATTTTCCACCCCCAGAGAGCTCAAGGCACCTCCTGCTTACGTGATTCTGTACTGGAAACAAGTACAGGCATGAGAGCGTGGCAGGGAAGGTCTGCAAAAGAAAATGCTGAAGAAGGGACAAGCAGCAGGGCACAGTCTGTGCCACTGATCTCCCATGTCACCCTGGGCTGGGTCAGACCTTCTTGGGCCAGATCTGGCCTGCAGGCCAGAGGTTGCTGATCCCTGACCTAGCAGAAGGGGTTTGAATTCATTACAATAAAACAAGAGAGAATGGAAAATATGCAATTACCTACTTAATGGATATGCAGAAGCCTTCCATTTCAAAGTCTATCCATGAGGTACCTCTTGCCAACATTAAGCTGATACTTCCCATTTCAAAGAAAAGGATAATTGAGAAAACACTCACAATAAATTTAAAGAAATACTTGCCTGAAACCCAAGGAGTTTTTCACTGGGCTTAATGTGTCTCTGAAATTCACATTCTACTGGCTGTATCACTTTGATTCCATCTTCATAAAAAACATAAAACATGTTCCCAATTCCCAGACCTTAGGAACAAAAACACATTCAAATGTACAAAATTAACCATTAGAAAAAAGCAACCCCCAATTTTTCAGAACCAAAGCCCTCATTTTAATGCTAATATGAGATCAATTTATTAAAGGCTGTGTGATGATAATAAAGCTAACACCATGGGATTTTCTACTGCAAAGCTGAACCCAAAGCGTGATGCTATTCAAGTTTTTACACTGTTTTCCCTGTGAGCAAGACAGCAATTTTACAAACAGAGATCTGGAAATAAGCCATATTTTGCCAGATGAAGTAATGAATGAAATCATGTGAAATCTTTTACATGATAATCAAATGAAAATAAATTCCATATGTTTTCTTGCTTTTCTTTTTCTGAGTGGAGAATTTAAAGTAATTAACATATCACATTAACAGAAAAAAAAGTCCCGAGTCTTTGTTATACCTCATATAGGACATTTCCTTCAGTACTAAAAGGGTAATGCTCTCGATAGTCTTTTACTGGCAAGTCAAAAGTTGGGGAGAAATTTAATTCTAGTTTATAGGGCCACAATTTTTTGTGGAACTCTACAGTCTCTCCCCCTTGAGTAGTTATCTCAGGACTGTAGCATTACTCTAACAGCTTAACCTATATACCTCAGTTTTTCATCTATCAAAGTTAACTGTTTTGGTATTTTATTCGTCATGATTATTAGTTAATATTTGGAACCTGTTACAAAGATGAAAACCACTATATTCTTGCAATCAGCATGAAATCAATTATGCCAATAAAGAGTTTCACATATATTCCAGTAACATGTCCAAAACTTCCACTATCAGCAGGACACTGGCATGGGGAATAGACTTAAGAGAATATAAAGTTAAAACAAGAATTTTGATTTTATGTTCTCAAGAAAGTCCTCTGTTATCAGAAAGCAAAGTCCTCGGAATAGCATACAACATAAGACTATTATTCTATTAGAAAATGAAAAATGAAACAACATAAGGATGAAAAACAATAATGCAATGTAAGAAGTCTTAGAGGACCATCCCCTGGCCTGCATTTGCAGTGGAGTAAAAGGAGGCAGAAAGATGCCAGCTGGGGGAGGCAAGGGAGTTTGAAAATAAAATATAAAATATATTCAATTCATATAGAAAATTATTCCCTCTGGATAATCCTATGGGAAGGGAAAAACAGGGAGAAGCCCCCGAAGTGGATCTTGGCAGAGATGTACCCCAAATCTATTCACTATAATGAAGAACAAGGAAGGGTTTGACATCCCACAGAGCTTCAGAGAACTCCTAAAGTGCCACAGTGATGCAGCTACTTGATTCTTAATGCATCCTCCCACCTGCAGATACCTCTCAAACCAATTAAAGTGGGTTTCCTGTCACACTGGTGCCTTTGTGCAAAATTAACTCTTTCAGGAGGAATACGCCCTCAAATATTTTTCAAGCTCTAAACCCTTGCCCTTTGCAATCTCCAGTGTCACAAAAATGACTGACTTTTTTCCCCAATTTCTGCACAGAATAGAGGAAATGTGTTTGTATAACAGAATCTCAATTACTGATATTATGACTCTAAAGACCTTCATTACAACATTCTTCTGTGGCTGCTATGTAAAGGTTTCATCAGTCCACTAGGTCTTATTCTTTATTTATACAGGAACAGAACTGCAGCAGATCTTACCTAATTTTGCCAAAGACAGCACTTTCAAGATACACACAAGAGAGGAGCAGATGTCATCTCAGAAGTGAGATTTAGCTGGGTTTTTTTATTTGCAAAAACATTTGCCACATTTAGATAGATTTATGTCTGCATTTCACTCTGCTTGCCTTTTATTTGAAAAGTTATGACACTGTCTTTATGTACATCTTCCCTGTACATACCATCAAAGCCAGACTTAGAAAGGGGGAGTCTTTTGAATAGTTTACAAAATACAGACCCTGTGAAAAAAACTACCTTTGCAATATGACCAATTGTCAGCGTTAAAAAAAAACGAACTGGGAACTCATCCTCCTGGAGAATCCTAGGACCTCAACTTGTCAATTCTTTTTAACTTAATTAAATGTTAGCAAGGGTATTGAGGGCAAGGAGAACTAAAGGGTGATGCTAACTGGCAGTGGCACTAGAATATTTTGTTGAGTATTCATAATCACACAATCCTTTAACTACAAACAAGATGGGGACATCTACACAAGTCATTCACATACAGCAATAAACTGCTCTGCAATTTATTGTTCCTGAGAAGCTCCTGGGCACACAGTTTACATGTGCACCTGAACCTCAGCACATTGAGCTGGGTCATAGCAGCTCCGGCTGGCAGGAGGCCCTGGGTGTTAGTCTGCCAGCCCAGAGCTGCTCCAACCAGGTTCAGTGTGTTGTAGAGGAGCCGGCTGGTGCATGCGAGTGCTTCAGCATGGGGCTAACCAGCAGGCAGCCTCTGCATTGAAGCACTGTCTTGCCCCAGCCAGCCAGCTCAGTGTCTACATGTTTGCTGCTGCACACAAAAAACTCCACAGCAGGGTAGGACTTATAGTTACATGTCCTACCCTGCTGCAGAGTGTATTAATTTTGTGCATGTGTACACACTAAGACATTTACTGCACAGTTAATTAATCAACTGTGCAGTAAATATCTCATGTAGACACACCTGATAATTCCTAAAGGCAGCAGTGAAAAAAATTTCTTTTTCTTGCAGGTTTGTAATGCTCAAATTCAGAGCAGCCTAATATTTTTCAATTTAATTCCAACCTAAGTAAGCCTGAGATCCCACCCAGCCTGCAGCCATTCTACACTCTCTGGTTCATAGCTAAAAGCAAACTCCTGCATGAAGAAACAATAGCATCTCCTGACAGAGTTAGGGTTTCTAGAAAGCACAAGCTGTTAGGGCTCTGACTGAAACAGGTAGTGGGTAGGGCAGGCAGCAAACTTTGAGTACTGATCACAATCAATTAAAAAGCCACTCTTTTTCCCTGCCCCCTCCACTCTTTAGATTTCTCACCTTACCTCCCCCTCACCTATGTCTTCCCACCCATAATTTCAGTATTTGGTTTGTACAGTGCCTAGTACAGTGCATCCTCAAAACTGAGTACAGTTACATGAACCTTTCAATCTAGTTTTCCCCAGCAACTTACAGTAGCTGTGCAGCCCACATAATAGTTTCAAGAAGCAGATGCACCTAAGATTATCAGTTATTGCAACAATAAAAGGTGTTGCCTTCTATGGATCACTCCTATCACCGGCTAGTCAGCACCAACACTTGTGAGAAGAATGGGAGCTAACCAATAGTAGTAAACAAAAGAGTCTGCCTCAGCCCATTCAGCCCATGGGTATAGCAAAACTACTTCCACCTCTTAGCACCTGCTCCACAGGCCAACATCCAACAGCTAATGAGAGATGTCTGTTAACCCTGCTGCATTTCTGTGCATACTCTAAGTCTATTATTTATTATTAGGAAAGGATTTTTGCAGGTGATGCTGTTTATTGGACCTACGGTATACTGGGGAGGGAAAGAGGCAAGCTTGTGAGTACTAAGTACCCTTCCTCATTACCAATCATTTTCTAATGACAGAAAGCAACATCCAGCCTGACCTTAAATGTCTGCAATCTAAAAAAAGACAAAGGCAACCAAAGCACTCGTAATTAGCTCAGAATTTTGAAAGTCTTCACAACAGATTCTCGTTCTTCCCCTGTGAATTTTAACCCTCATATGTGACTCGCAAGCAATGTGTACAGTGCCTCACTGCCAGGCCCAAGACTGCTGCTGAGAAACAAGCTCTGTCCACCCACCCTCACTATGCCTCAAATAAGTTCAGTGAGTAGGCAGATTAGACAGCTCAGTGGGATCTTCAAGACTGTTCTCAGGTTTTTCCAAGACAGACAGCCTTAGAGCAGTACTGGGCACATGAAAATAAATCTTAAAAATATATAAGAAGTCTCACTAATCAAAACGTATTTTAGCAAGATCCCATAGCAAAATCTGAGATGCTCACTGTTACCATGAACCTTGCATTGAAGATAATTGAAAATAGCTTATATCCCTTGAAATATATGAAAGTCCCTCTATAACTTTTAATGAATGTTAACTATTTGAAGTTAAGAATAAACATTTATAAGTAACACTTTGGCTTTACCCTTTTTAACTGAGTCTGGATATTGCAGAGGGTATGTCATACCGAAACACTGAAATCACATCTTGTAAAATAAATATTTATCACTGGAGGTAAACCTTTGAAGTCAACAATAATCTCGACACCATAAACACCTAATACTGTTCTCATGACATCCTCCAATAAAGAAGCAAGATCTAAATGGAAAGCATGAAACCTAGCTTGACCCTTCCACCTTCTAACTTCATATCAAAGAGAGAGAGAGAAATTGGTTTGTCTTACTAACTAATCAAGAAACTGAAAATTTTCTTTTCTTTTTTTTCCTGGGAACTGCACCAGATGACACTCTTGAGATATAAGAATGATTAACACCATAAGGTCAGATTTCTGACAAAAGACAGGGTGATTGCCTAAAAGATTTATAGCATCAGCAGGACAAGTTAAGGGCAAAGGACCTGTCTGGGTTTTCAATCTTAACTCTGTGGGTTTTTTTCTATCCCTCAAAGCTCTAATATACACAAATGTGCTTAAATGTAAACCACAAAAAGTTGCTCAGATCCATAACAAATATATTTTCCTCAAAATATTGAAAAGCTATTATAGCATGCTTATATAAAAGGCATTTGAATACTATGAGGTTTTAACAGAAAACATGAATGGAAAAATAATTACTATAACTACTTAATACCAGTAAGAAACTTAATAACTTAAAAGACAAACATAGAAACATAGCACACAACAAAATAATTTGTATTAGTACCTTCCTCTCGCCACAATATGTTTGCAACTGCAGCATGTAAGAGAGAAAAAACAAAAGAGACAAATGAACAAGAAAAAACATGAAATGGTATATCTCCCATTGAAATAATTAAGATGTTACAGTGCTTAGGGTCTCTAAAAAGTGTGAATATATAAAATAATGGAAATAGTGAATTAACCATAAAATCCATAAATAATTGTTTTATGTCAAAATGGTTTAAAAAAAACGAGGTGACTTTTCCATACTTGTTACTGAGCTATATGACTTGCAATTAACTTATTTAGCCTTTTATCAAAACTTTTTAAAATTTTTCTGTTACAGACTACAAATCTGAAAATGTGAGTTCATAGGAGTATAGCTAAGATTATAGCTGAAGTCAACTTCCATCTAGTTTTAGTGCAAGGATCATATTTTGAAGATATGTGTTTATTTTAGAAGACAGTAATGAGAGAGGAACACAAAAAGTGGAAATATTTATAAAAAGGCATACTTTCTTCTACATATCTGACTTTTTAAAATTAATAAAGAAGGTCTACCATTGACTTCAGAAGTAGCAGAACAGGAACTAGGTGACTTAAAATAGTTATATATGTTATATTCACATTAAAATCTGTCATATTTGAAACTTGTTTAAGCAGCTGGGTTTTGGACATTTTCTGACTGGTGGAAACTAACAATATAGACCTTGAATTTTGTTCAATCTAGGGAAAACAGACCAGACATAAATATCACAGTATAAATTTTAAGTGTGTAGAAGTTAGCATGCAATGGAAGAAATTGGTAAACCAAAAATTGTAAAATGGATAAAAGGAAAAGGAACAGAAAAAAAAAAAGAGGGGAATTTAAGTCCCTGTAGAAAGCAATCATACCTTCTGCTAAATTCTTGATTCAGGAAATAAAGACAATATGGCAATTGTTCTCTGAAGCCCACAAAAATACGTTTATTTTATTTTACAAACCATTTATCAGTTCTGCTCTGCTGCATGACCTTAGCAACAGTACTTAAAATGCTGTCCTATTAATAAAATGAAAATTGAGGATAATTATCTAGTTCCAGGACTTCTGAGATCCATGGATGAACAATTGGAAATGATTATTAGAAATAGTACGGTGTAGAACTGTTGACTTTTTGAATGAAAGGTACAAAAGACAAACACATGTCTTTACTTTTCCACACCAAGAAACAACAGATAGATACATAGTGGTGTATCTACACATTCATTAATGTGCTTTTGTTACTGCATGATAAATGTAGTACCTATAATGTGAGGTAAAAAATAAATGCACATTAAGATGCACTAATGCACAGTAATGAAAGTGACATGTAATGTGCTTTTTAGTGACATTTAATGTTCAGTTGCCTGTTTTTACCACACATTAGTGTATTAGCATGATTTTTGCCATGATGCTTTAATGTGCAATAAAATAAGCGATCTTCCATTAAAGCACACATGTAAATGCCCCCATTATGTATTAACAATTGCTGTCTTTAACTACATCTAATTGTCCCTTGAATGTAAACAGAAACCTTGTATTTTCTTGAATAACTGACACATTAATGTGATATATACTATACATGCCAAATACCAATTGTGTTTCTGATTCTATCATCTATTATGTATTCTTGGTAACACCTTTCTACATAATGAGTTTGAGCCCCTGACAATGTGAACTGTAATAACTGCATTGAAGTAAAAATGAAATCAACCCAATTTTCCATTTGTTTCTATAGTCTCAATCATTCCTGGGTTTTCCTGATATCAGGTTAACCTGTTAATTCAGAAACAGACCAACTTCAATGGAGCACTGGTGAATCACAGGAATTGAGGACTAGTCTCTTGGTACTCTTGTATGTATTTGTTGAAACTACACGAAGGGTAATCACTAACCAAACACAAGAAAATCAGCTCAGCTGGGTCATAAAATGGGTCTGTCTTATAATATGATGTTACAGTGCTAACAAAGGTTGTTAATACGCCTCTATCAAAGGTAAGTACATTTTGCATGGTTACTCATGTGTAAACCATTTGTCCACTCTGCTAAATGTTTTTGTCTTTGAATAAAAGTGTTTAACAGTTTGCTGCAGATGTAAACCTTTCATTAGAAACTGCAATCATATATGGATTGGAATATTAGCTAAATGCATTATTGACTGCTTTTCTTTTTGAAGTAAAATACCAACTTGACATCAAAACAACACACACACACACACACACACACACACACACACACACAGAACAGGTTGAGAGAGTATAAAAATAGATTTAAATTTGTGTTGATCCAGACAATGAATAGATATTGGAGAAAGAAAAGGATGGGGTAAGGATCTCTTGAATATAAAGAGAATTTTCTATGAGAGAAAGAAAATTTTAAATGAGATAACCATACTGCTGCTTTTTCTGAAGAGCAAGAATAGCGGGTTAAAGGGACAAAAATGTTAGCTGATATCCTTGAAGAGAAGGAAAGGGAACCACTATAACACTGCTCTGCCTTGATTCCATATCAGCCTTACTTTTCAAACACCCCACTATCTGCTCTGGGGTTGTCAGTCTGATAAGTGATGCAACAGAATTAGCACTCTTCACTGATTTTTTTCACACACTCTCCCCTCTCACTGTGCAGAAAAGGGGACACTGTTGCTTTAAAGCAGAAAAACTGCACTTATTTCAAACAGGAAAAAAGCACTTATGGGACATAACTAAGTACCAACTCTTGCAGAGGGATAGAGTGCAGTAGACAGAGGCACATGTGGTAAGTTCTGCATCCCAGCCAGCACAGATTTACATGACAGTGGCCTCTATTGGCCTGCAGGTGGTGGTGTGGCTAGGCAACCAGCAGTGGCAGCTGCTATTTTTGCATGGCCCCTTTCCCCAACCAAGTTGGCACCTACAACATTCACAAAGTAGCACAAATGATTAAACTGTTTTTATAGTTCCATCACAACAGGACATGAATTTTATCTATGAACATTTAGGCTTTGCAGTAGTTCTGGATTATTTTTTTTGTTCGTTTATGCAATGTCTATGCAATCTAATATACTTAACCGGTTCATTTCTGAAAGGATTTAAACCTCTCTGCCCAGGACAACATGGAGGGGCATTACTGAAATTAGTTTTCCTCTCCACATCTGGAAAGACAATGAACATTTAACTCAACTGCTCTTAGCTGAAAACTCTTCTGCATTGGAAAAACAGATTCCAGGGAAAATGGAATATGGGACTTAGAGAAAGGTGAAAACTATTCTTCCCAACCAGGGAAATATTTTTATACATATTTGGGGCTGCTATAAGGCCTATAAGATGTAAGACCTCAGAGCAGTATATGGTCATAAAAGTCATTTCTAAGTAAGTTTCAGGCCTATTTCGCTAGTACTGTATAAATGAGTAGACAGCACAATTGAATTTTGGAAAAGTACGTGCAGTGCATTTACTACTATTAAATTTTTATAGATTTAAAAGTAATTGTTAAAGGTATCTGCTTTCTCAGCATGACAACTCAAATTAGTCAATGGTTGTGTTTATACAAACACAAAATAAAAAAAAAGAACATATCTCTAATGCTATAATTTGTCTTGGCATTAGTTAGTACTTACACACATACTCTTAAGCAATAGGTACCATGTTGTTTCATTATTGAAGGGAGCCAGAAAGAGTACATTTTTAATATGACTTTTTTAAAAAGTGCCAGTGGTGATAGAAGAAAAATGTTGTTAGGATTCTTTTCTCAACTTCCATTATCTTGCAAGTAAAAACTGTTTTTCCAGTAATCTCTTCTCTCTTTCTTTTGGACAGTACAGAAGCAATACTTGTTGGGACACAATGAAACATACTGTTCTTTGTGAAACAATGCACTCTTTCAAAATGACCCAGGTGGTAATCATGTGATGGAGTATACCTGACAAAATACGCTTGACTCTTTTGTCCTACCTTAGCATCATCTAAGTTTTAAAAGTTAAAAAAAAGAGGTGGGGGGGGGTGTGGCAAGGGGAGGCTGTTCTGGCTACACACTTTGCTTTCATTTCAGGATATGCTAAAACAATACAACATCTATTCACCTAATTACTGAACTTTTACTTATCAGTTAACATGTCACAGCTATGGTAACATTACTTTTACTGTTAAACTATGAAAGCTTAGAAAAGAATACTATTTGATTTAATTTTTACTAATTATATCTTTGGACACTCTAACCACATATAGTACATCCATAACTGAAATAATGTCTTGAATGGTATTACACACAGAATGCTACTGTAAAAGATTATATATGAACATTTTTCAATGACCTTGACTTCTCAAGAGTAGGACCTAGTACTTAACATCATTGTTAGTTGTACAGTAAAATCTCTGATTTACTATCTGTAAATTCTGGTAATGAGATATTATGAATTACTTTATCAAGACTCACAAACGCAATATCATATACATGAAAACAATTAGAAAGTGATTCACAAGCAGAATCTATAACCCCTAACTGGAAATCTTAGACAGAGAGTCTTTGTCTATGATGTTGTCAGAAGGTATAAACTTTATTTAGCTCTACCATAAAATAAAATGCCAGCATAAATTATCTACAAAGAAATTAGGTAAATAGGTATCATTTAGTATGATGTGGGACAGGGAGATTCTATTAAAGGTGCATAAAACCTCACAGAGAGAATTTAGGCAATAAATCATAGTCAAAAAGCTTTTAGTCTTATTCTAAATTCTACGCAACAGTGATGCCCGCTTGCTTATGGATGGCCATAAACCTGTCAAGTCAGCAGCATTCAGATCACATAAGCTCTTGTTAAGTGATAAGCCTATGACATTACGCAAAAAAGGCACTGTGTTAGAAATCGATCTATTTAATGGGATGGAAAAGACATATTATTTTTTAAACAGAGCCCCAAGACACAGAATGCACAAGGAAGATAATTTTCAGCCTGCTCCTGTTGAAGAGATGAAACAATGTATAGAAGTTTCTTCATGGAATTTGACAGTGCCATAGTGACTGAACTGGGTAACATAGTAAGCTATAATTGAAGT